ATGGATGGTGCGGCACGCACACCATTTGTACTTGACCTGCATCATTTCATTGCGGTTATTGCACTTTGAGGAGAACGATACATTAGAGGAAGGTCCAGGGCCACTCACATGATTGACAACGAGGCCAGATAAAACTTCCGCCGAGATGGAGGGTGAGGGCTACTTATGATGAGGGTTGATAAATCATAAACTAGGAATAATATCAAATATTAGAATAAGAAACCCATGGATGCCTGAGAAGAAACCCTGCGATAAATGTGTGGCTAGTGGACCTGCAGCTGCTGTCTAAAGGCAGATGGCTTGGTAGAAGCCCCACTTTGGGACATTGCGAAGGGGACTGTGTTTTTATCATAATGTGTCTGACTGTCACAGGCATGGATGGGTGCAGCCCGGGACACCGTTTTTCGGGTCCTTGATGCGGCGGCGCTAGGGAATTTTTTCACATATATACCGGCATTTTCCAAAATGGATCAGAGGTGGCATATGCACAGGCTTTAATGAGCAGTGGGGGTGAGAGAGGAGGGCTTAGGGAGGGAGTACATGAGAAGCCTGGTCTTTGGGTCCCCCATTGCATGATTCCATCTTGTCATCAGGCAAGACATTGGCTCCCAAGACGAGGGGGATAGCCTGCTAGCTCAGGGCTCTCAGTAGTGGGGTGCACAGTCCTCCACCCCAGGGGGAGCACCAACAGGCCCTGACGAAGGATGGCGAGCCGTGGGGGACACCCGCTATGTTTCCAGATCGAGCATGTGCGGCCACAGGCTCTCAGGCTGGGACTCCGATAGACAGTGCACTGCCCCAGAGGCTCAGCGGTGGCCAAGGAGTTACCCTTCAAAGACGCAGCTTGACCCAAGTAGAGCCCCGAGTAACCGCTAGATCATTCGTCCCACCTAAAAACGTCAGCGAGGGCCAAACGTGGCAGTCAGTCCTGCGTAGCCAACAGTGAGGGCCGCTGCAGGAGGGTCGCACTTAGGACATTTCCAAGCCCCCGCAGCATTCTGCCCAGGACAGTCAGCCCGTGGCGTGGGCTGAGGGCGCACTGGGGGGCTCCGGCTCTCGCAGCGAGCTCGGGGGACCCCTAAGTCCTGACAGAGCACGGAGGCTGTGCCTGGGGACTGGAGCATCTCCGTGTGGTGGTGTCCAGCAGGGCCATAGTGGGAAGTCAGAATGCCGACAGCAGCAAGCACAGCTGAAGACGGTCTGCAGGCCTGTGATCAGGTGCCCCATCCAGAGCCAGGCAGCCTGCTCGCGCCCACGCTCCCCACACGCCCTGGGAAAGCCACTGCTCTCTGAACCCTGAGGGCCCACGGCTGAGCTGCTGCAGCCTGCGCCCTGGCTCTACCTTCTGCTCCAGGATCGGACACAAGTGGTCAGCATCTGCGCTTATCCAAGTCTGGGAAAGACCTTCCACCTCTCATAGGTGGCACCCTCTGACCCCCTGTTCGGCGCTGCTGTCCCTGCTCTGACAGCCTTTCTGTGTACATCAGTGAGACCACAGACACGAAGAAACAGAGGAGAAGCAGCGAGAGGAGGAACCAGGAGGGTCAAGGAGTGAGTCAGATCGAAGCTCATGCCTGTGTGAGGCCGTGGGACAGAGCACTTATGCCCCCAAGGTAGGGCCCATGTGTCGCAGCTGCTGGCTCGGGGGCTGGGATGGCCCAAGAGCTCCACCCTGCAGGAGCCTCTGCCGTCATTAGAACATGAGGGGCACGTGGTCGCAGCCTCACTGTTCGTCGCCTCCAGAGAGGCCTCTACGCTCTGAAGTTGGATACCAGCAGACTGAGTGGTGGGAGGAAGAGAGAGGGTGGCTGACCATTGGCGTCTGTCATGTACTGGTTACAGCAGGAAGAGCTGGGGGGAGGGAGTGGCCGGGGACAGTGCAGAGCCCCTCCATGGTGACTGCACCCTCCTGTCCCCGACTTCCAGGGGCTGTTAGAGACCCAGCGGGGCCTGGGCTCATGTCTAATATGCAGAGTGCTTTCCACAGGGAAAATGCAGGCTTTTCACAGCATATTCAGCTAATGGGGTAGGGGTGGAATAATGGACAGAAAGGAATTTTTTTCACCTTTAAGGTCAATTAAAATGACACTTGGAAAATTCTGCAAAGAAAGTAGACACTTGCATGTGGCTGCCTGAACATGATAGAGCAAACCGGGTGAAATGGCTGCTATTTCCTAGGTTTTGATCCATGGAAATGGCCATTTTGTAGGGTCCCCAATATGAGCTGGCCCTTTGGAGCCGCAGCTCTGAGGGGCTGAGACTGTCCTTGTGCAGACGTAGGCCAGGCATCGTGTAAGTGTGGGCTGTGCCCAGAAACGATTGGGAATGAATGAGCAAGTGGGCAGATACCCATCGCGGGCGGCAGGGCCAGGGCGCCCTCCTGGCAGCGTGTGCCGCCTCTGCCCGGTTCCAGCTGTTCCCGGCCCCCAGTTTCGCCATGTGCTTTCCCTTCCTCGTTCCTCCCCTGCCCACCCTCTGGCCCGGGCACTGGGGACTCAAGGTTGGCTTGCGTAACAGGTACTAGCAGGCATTTCCCCCTCCTGGGACAGGATATCCTGGCGCCCTTCAGTCTCCCCCTGACTGTTTAAAACAGACCGGAGCACAGGAAAAAACCTAACTCTAAAATTAGCAGCGCGATAGAAGAAAGGCACATAGCTGCATTCTGTACTGTTTGTCAATGAAACACGTCTAAACAGGGCCAAATGCATTTCCTTTTTGGGCAAAACAGACCTGTGGGGAGCAGCGGGCAGACACCAAGGGGAGAGGCTGCCTGTGTCCGAAACGGCGCGGCTGCCGCCCGGTGCTCCTGGCTTTTTCCATCGCCGCTGCCTGACTTTTCGGTAGAGCCGCGTCCGGCCTGCCCAGAGGGCGTGCTGGCCTGGAAATGCTTAGGAGAGGAGCACATGTCCCTGTCCCCC